AAAGAATACGGTGTCTGTGTAATTATTTTGGGCATAAGCTAGCTGGGCAGGCGGCCTGGGGTGCTGGGAATGCAGCCCTGCTGCCCCTATTACTACATATGGCGCCCACGTGGACAACTGCTTCCACATAAAGCCTGAGACAGCTTGGGAAATAATTCTAGAACAAAATGAAAGCATTGTGCCTGGTTTCTTGGTAGCAGCAATTTCTCGGTTCTACTCTGCCTGCTAGAGGCAAGAAAGCACCTCATCTAAGAGAGGCTTCCTGACTCAGCTTCAGCTGCAAAGCCTGCAGCTCATTAAGAGGTCCTGCCACGAAACACTTAAACGGTGTTGAAGAAAAGCTGAACACATGCTTTTCAGTTTTCAGCCATAGCAGGAAAAAAGCTGCGCCGTTTAAAAATGCCAGCTTTCTGGGCTGTCCTGCCAGGGCAAATTTTGACTCTTTTACACAGGCGGTTCGTGCCCTTTGCAAGCAAAGGCTGCTGAAGCTCGCTTGCTGGCAGGAACCTTGAAATGCCATAGAGTTGTCGCAGTAAACGTGGCTACAGCCAGTACCTCAGCCATGAGGCTGGAAAGCTAAGGAATGGACTGGATCTAGCTGGCAAAGCCACGCCTTTAATCCTACCCATATTGCTCAGTAATTTTAAGGCTCGTGTGGTCAGAAAAAGAGAGATATACAGTAAAGAGAGCTTCAAAGACAAAGAAAATTTCTAAATGGTTTGAAGTGTGTTAAAAATATATGCAGACTAAAATTTAAAGTTCTTAAAGTTAAAAAAAAAAAAAAAAAGGAAGAGGGTTGTTGTGTGTGGTAGCACACGCCTTTAATCCCAGTGCCTAGAAGGCAGAGACAAACAGATCTCTGTGAGTTCAAGGTGTAGTAGCAAACACCTTTAATCCCACTGCCTGAGAGGCAGAGACAGGCGGATCTCTGAGAGTTCAAAGACAGCCTGGTCTACAGAGATATTCCAGGTCAAAGATATACGCTCAAAAAGCAAAAAGTTAACCTAGGAATGTCACAGCTTAGATTCTAAAGCGCCTAGTGATTTAAAGGCGCAAATCAAAAGTGCCCCTGGATAGTAAAAAATTGCAGATTCACAATAGGACAGATTCAGACCACTAAATGAGTCACACTGTGGATGAATGTACGTAGGCTTGGGAGAGAGAAGAAAAAGAATATAGAGAATAAAGTTAATGGTTTAAAAAAGTAAAAGTAAAGTCTTTAAAGAGACAGAGTACAGATAGTTAAGAGATTAAAAGAAATAAAGAAAAATAAGCCACATAAAAATGGAAAATTCACAGAGAGTCTGGATTATGTACATTGTGTTTTCTTTAAAATTTTTGACTGTGAAGGAGCTAAGTACAGAGAGACATTTCATTATATGGGCTGCCAAGTGGAACCAGAACGGATATCATGAGGGTATGATTTCAGAATTTGGATCTAAGGATATGATACTTTGGAAAAGAGATTCTTCTTTTGTTTTCACAGAGGATCAGACCTTGTGGATTGCATTTATCCCGATATGGTATGATAGACCACGCCCTCCTGAAGGGTTGGTGTGAACACCTTCAGAAAATCGCTTCGCTCAACTGCCAACTGAGATGAAACTAGCACACAGGTTATACCATGAAAGACCTAATTAACGACGCCCCCATTCAGCAGGAAGCAGTTTGGAGAGAAATAACTGCGCCCATATTCCCAAAAAATGTTTATAAATGTTCTTTTACATTTAAAGGGGGATATGATATAGATATGAATAATTTGCATTAGTGTAGATTTTGCTTTATTGATAGAGATTTAAGGTCAATTTTGTTATATATATATAAGTATTTCTGATTTTGATTAAGGTATTGTGATTGTGTAGTTCATTTAAATATGTACTGTATAATTAAGAAATATAGGTTGTTAATGGATAATCATCGATAATAGTAAAGCTTGTAGTCATGTTAGTTAATATTTTCTAGATGTGCGTAGATATATTTTAGATAGACATTCTTCATGTCTTTCAAAGATTACAGAATAGGACATTTAATGTTTTAATAACTGAGGACATTTCATGACAATGAGACACTCCGCTCCTGGCAGCACCAATCTATTTCAAGAGGAAGATGGGCATCAAAGAGGATCCTTATGGAGTTTGATAGCCATTTGGGCAAGAAACTGCTCTTGCCTGGACTACTGCATAAACTGGACACAGAGAACCCGCAGAGAGACTACTGAACTTGCTTAGGTGAGATGATCTTTCGGGGTTCCTGATTCATGAAAGAGTCTGCGAGACATTCTGCAGGACACAACAGATAGTGACTGAACTGACTTTGAATTTTCCTGCTTTATGGAAATGTCTGCTGGATACCATGGGCCTGAAGGCTGAAGATGGATGCCCCAACGGTACAAAAGAACTTTGGGTGACTGTCCAGGCAGCGAGATGTCTTTGTCATTTCTAGAGTTTGAAGTTTCTTAGTTCTTGTTTACTTAGGTAATATTATATCTTTCTGGAGTCTTTGATGGAATTAAGAATAGTTAGTTATAGTTTTCCTTAGTTATGATAAAGATTATTGTAACTTTTACTTGATAACTGTTTTGTTATATGTAATTTTGCTATGTTAAAGTTAAAGCCTTTTTTTTTTTTTGTTTAAACCGAAAAAGGGGAAATGATGGAGGAAGGTCATTGGCTAATAAAGGCACTGCCCTGGCCCATTTTATTGGTTAGAGGATAGGTGGGAGGAGTAAACAGAACAAAATGCTGGGAGGAAGAGGAAGTGAGCTCAGAGACTTGACAGCTCTCCTCTAGGGAGCAGACGCCTCAGACAGAAACGCCATGCCCCGCTCCCGGCATGAAGCTCGGACCCAGGATGGACTAGGCTAGAATCTCCCCGGTAAGCGCACCTTGGGGTGCTACACACAGATGATTAGGAATGGGCTAAATTAATATGTGAGAATTAGCCTAGAAGAGAATGGGCCAAGCAGTGATTAAAAGAATACGGTGTCTGTGTAATTATTTTGGGCATAAGCTAGCTGGGCAGGCGGCCTGGGGTGCTGGGAATGCAGCCCTGCTGCCCCTATTACTACATACATTGGGTTCTCGGAGTAGTGATATAGGTCAGAACTGGGAGGAGAAAAACAAGGGCTGCAGAACACTTGAGAGACAGTGAAGGCAGCTGAAGCCAGGTGAGTGGAGAGCCAAAGAACTGAATGGCCACCAGAGCTGTCAGGAAGAACACAAGGCGACCTCTAGATCTGAGTGTAAGAAGCACAACTTTATGGCAATGGGGTGGTTAGGACAGCTCCTCTCAGGTAGTAGAGGGTAGGTTCCAAAGCCTGGATAGTTATTGGGCCAAATATGGGAAGACAGACAAGAGAATGTAGAGCTGTGTGGTACACTGGAGAAGAATGCACGTTTACAGCTCCAGAGCAGACAGGAAGAGGTGGAGTGGCGTCTAGCTATAGCTCCCATACAGAGCCTAGAAGATCTAGCTCTAAATGAATGGGCAAATCCTTGAATGAACCCTAAAATATGGATCCCTGGGCATGTCCTTCTGCACAATGACAACTGGCCACACCCCGTCTTCCTCTCTTGATTCTCTTCCTGTTTCAGGGTCTCCTGGTCAAGGGCCCTGTCCCTGGCCTGGACTTTGAGCATCACCTGCCCAGCTCTGGGCTGCAAGATGGTACTTCAGTCAAGGAAGGCCAGATTGCACAACAGAGCAGCACTCTCTGCTGAAGAACCAATTGGAAGTGGGCAAGTAAGAGGCAGGCAAAGCATACAACAGTCCTCAGGCTCCTGTGACCACTTGAGGGAGGCTCATGCCTAAGCATTCATTCTATTTTCATGGTACAAACAAGTTACATGATAATGGAGCCTGTGATAATCGCAGCATGTGAGCATCAAATATATCTGAAGGGTAATAGAAACCTGGGGTCCAGGAGAAGGGCACATCTATCACTACTAGGGAAAGTCCATGTGTTTGGCTAACAGCACAGTCCCAGGGCCGTGTGTAGATCCATCTGTAGGACTTGGGGAAGAGTGCTTCTGCACGATGGAAGAGTGATGGTTACAAAGGGAACCACTGTCCTAACTCCCGATTCTAGATGCACACAGGTCACCAACAAAAGGGTGGCAGCTCTCATAAGTGACACACAGCATTCAAAACTAAAGGTAGCAAGCAGCAAGGCTGAGGCACATGACCTCTGCTCAGATGTGCACCCTAGCCTGGTGCTCTTCCATCTGTCAGGCTCTACCTGTTGTTCTAGATAGAGTGTGATGCCAAATTATTTTTCCTGATTCCCTCTGCTGCACTTTGAGGAGGCGAGGACAGAATTGCGCATCTGTCAGGCGCTCTGTTTGCATAGAATCATTTGAAAACAAAATTAAGTTGTAGCTGAATAATGTGATGATTGCTGCAGGACCTCACCAGGGAAACTGGACTTAGTGCCAGAATGGTATCAGGCTGAGGGCGTGCTTCTGTTTCTGCTCCCTATTCCTTGTCTATTCCCATAACTCCCCAGTTCCCACCTTGTGCTACAGACAGGCTCCCTGTCAGGCACTTAAGAGCCTGTTGCATGGCACTGCATTAGCTAATCTGTTCACTTAAACCTAAAGTTTATATGCTGTAAAGTTCCCTCTTTAGCTTTTAAAAGGCGGCTATAAATGAGCTGTGCTTAATTCCCCCTTTCTACCACTAATTCTTTTACATCTTTACTAGAGGGCAGAGCCCCAAATCACATACTCTGCTCAAGGAACTTTATCAGGCCTGTTAGTCAGCATTTACTTTAAGACACTAAAAAGTATAAAAACGCCCTCAGTGCCCATTATCACTTTCTCCATCAGTGGACTTTGTGGCTCTAATTGAAAAGAAAAAGGCTGGCCCACGCAGATGGAAGCAAATGCGTCTCTGGTGCACAGAAGTGAGGAATGGTGGACGACAGAGATGCTGACAGTTTAGTTGGAGCTGTAATTTGGTTTGGGCCTCAGAAAAACATAGTAAATTAAAGAGTGACTTACTCGTTCTTGTCCAGCTGTATCCCAGATTAGGAATTTATGTAGCTCATTTTGGTACTGGACAGTCTTGGTCATAAAAGATGCCCTATAAAGAGAGACCTAAATGATCAGAACACAGTCATTTAACACCCGTGTCCAGCCCCAATTGGAATCATCACTTAGATTTGCACTCAGACTCCCAGTTCCCCACTACATCCTCACCATGTCTCTCTGGAGTATTCAGGGATAGTCAGACGCTGGCTGCAGCTTCTGTCAAAATAAAGTATTAGGCACATCTGCCTGACAGAAGAGGAAGCCTGAGTTCCACATCAAAGAACTGAGAACCAGTAAGCTTCCCTTGTAAAACTCACGGTGCTGTCACTCACACAGGTGGGTGTCACAGGAAAGCTTTCTTTAAAATAAGGCTTATTTTATCATTGTGCACCCACGCACTTACAAGGCAAGCACTCTTACCTGCTGAACCATTTCACTGCCCCATGAGAAAGCAGTCTAAAGACCACCATGCTCAGGAACCTGTGCACTAGTTAAAGCAACTCAGACCATTTTGCGTTTCTCTTCCAGTTCTCAAACCACGTGCCACATAAATAGCCAAGTAAGAACCAGGGTAACACTGGAGTTCATAGAATTATGATGCCAAAACAAAAGAGGACGAGGATGGCTTCTGGGACAGCTGAATCAAGGCGACAATGACCTCTGTACTGGATGATCACTGCTTCTGGAACACAAGCTTCTCACCTGATGCTCAGCGTCTGCCATGGGACATTTCCCAACCAACGGTTACACTCCGTTTCTGCTATTTGGGGGCCTTAGGCATTTTGAAGGACTCTGAAACTACCAGGTGCGTGTGTGTTTCTGAGGAGCCCCAAGGCCACAGCACAAACCTGCCTCTCTCAAGTTCTGGGGTGCAGGCCTGGCTCCAGTGTTGCTTTCTGTCCTCTGTGAAGGTTCTTGTCTTCTCACTTTGCTTCAAAGGACTCAGAAATGGCCCTTTGGGGTAAACAACCAAGTTGTGTATTTTTAAAAGGTGTGTTTCCCTTTGTAGCCTAGGCTAGCCTTGAAATCACAATCCTGCCTTAGTTTCTGAGAGTTGAGATTTAGGTATGAGTCAGCATGCCAAGCCCGAGTTGTACTCTTAAAATACACCCCAATCACTGCAATCTAGACAATGAACTCATTGGGTAGACATTCTCAGACATGCGAGAGAGCCTTAATCAGAGGTGATCTTCAAGAGAGTGCATTAAGGGGACTTCTGGAAGAATACTGAGCTCCTCAAGAATCAGAATTCTTAGAAACACTTATGTAAATTCATGGCCCAGCAGGCAGCCTCCCAAATGGCTAACGGAATGGAAAGTGAGAAGCAAGACCTGGCTACTGTGGGTGCCATCTGCTCCATGGAGCCCCAGGGAAAAGCTTTGTGGTAAAGGTTCTCTATAAAGTTCAAGTGTAAGGAGCTTTTGGAGAGTCACTTTGACTAAATCATGGTGTGCAACAGGATTCCTCACTTCGGAAAGATCTGGCAGTCAGAAGCCACAGTACTGGAGAAGACGAAGAGAGAAGACAGGTCTATACAAGTGTTATTGGTCAGAGGCAGCTCAGGAAACGTTCAGTCGAAACTCTCCAACATGTCCTCAAAGACTGCACTCAGTTCTCATCAACTGCACTGTGGAGTTACATGAGCATGACAGCAAGTGGAGCAGACAGATGGTGACTGGAGGACAGAGAGGCCAGGCTGCACTTCTGGTGGACAGAAAGCTGAGGAAGGAAGATGCAGGGATCAAAAGTTGTTTCCTTAAGCTCAGAACTCACGCCAAGTCCAGCCTGCCTCCAACCAGTTTCCTTGAATGAAAACAGGCTTCCATGAGTAAGAGAACACAAACACAGCACTGAGGTCTGCAGTGTCTAAAAAGAAGCCCCAGCACCCACACAGCTCTCACTGTACATCCTCCCAGTTTACCCACAGCTCTTCCTCTGTAGCAGGACGCTGTCTGCAGCTTTTCTTTGTTGTCCTGGAACTTTGTCAACAATTACTGTGGTTGCCCACAGACTACTTGGCAGTCCATTACACACACACACACACACACACACACACACACCATTACAGCATAAAGAACAAGTGTCACTCATACGTAGAGGCAGATAAGGCTGCTCTAGCTTGGCCAGAATGCAGCAGAAGGAAATGGTGCAGCGGGGCAGGAGTGCCTTGTTGAGGGTCCTACCTGCCTTGTGCTCAGTTACCAGCCTCAACTCCTGTACTAGCTGCAGGGGTCAAGCAAAACCTGGGATTGCTGCAGACACTCATTCTGCTCCCCCACTACAGTGGCCTTTGCAGTTCATTAGGAAGAAGTCATAGTACCGTATGGGGTTTGTCTGCTGCTCTCTCATGGGTTGAACCAGGAGCCTCTTCCCACCTCCTAGTCCCAGTCTGTCACTCTCTCACCTCTCCTCCTTTGGTCTCTTTACTTTATAGCACCAAGCATCGCATACCTATTCACTGTAAGAGAGTGAAATACTGATTTACCTCAAATCACTTCATCCCTGATACACAGGTTTGGTTTCCTCCTGTAGTAGCAGTACTACAGATCAGAGTCAGACTTTGGAGTAACACTACCTGCTGCTTCTCTCAGTAGTCCCTGGTAGGTTCTGGCTAGCACCAGGACAGAGGTTGTCTACCAGACTCAACCATAATTTCCTGCCAAAGCTATAGTGCTGTCTACTGAGGACAGCACTTTTCAAAATTGAGCTAACAACAGAGACACGTTATCACAGAACACAAGTGTCTAACCCCACATTGGTCCCAACTTCTAAGTTGTCAGTCACAGACACCAAACCTCCCTTTAACACCATGTGATTATACCTGTCTTTTATTAACTTGCATCCAATTTTGTAGTAGAGTTGTCTGGCTCTTTCATTTTATATTTAATCTACATCCAAACCTTGGCCCCTGAAATAAATTCATAAATTGGACCCCTAATCTTGGGGTGGCTTTACTCCAATTATCTGCCATCATTACTTCAACTCTAGGATCACTCCTTTAACATTCAAGTTAAATGATCCAGAGGGTACGATAGCTTCAGTGTCTTGCATTTGAAAAACAGGCACTGGCTCCCTGCCATTCAAAGGATACGTTTCTATTTCCCAGCCTGCCATTTACTTGTCTGAGAACCTTATTTTTCACTACTAAACTGTCTCTCTTCAGTCTGCCTAGGCAGATCTTATTACCTCTTTAATCTAAAATCCCTACTAGCATTATTTCCTAAAGCTAGAACGCCTTTCATATGCTTCTCCATTTTTCATGACATTCTAAAAATATGACTCTCGCGCACATCAAGCAGTCACGATCTTTGGTCAGAGTACGAGTTCCCAATGAAAATACTCGCTACAAGGTGTTTTAAAATCATCTCTTCTTTAACTTCAGCAACTTGTTTAGCTCTTCTGGAATACTGCTGTGCAATGACATCACCGCAGACTGCTTCCTTTGAGACCTTTCTGGGCTCCAGAGGTGCAGTCACCCCCCCACTGTGCATTCTGAAGATGAACAACTCAGTACATCTTTAAATGAACAAAAGGCCATAACTTGGATCTGAAGGTTAAATGTGCTGATGACACACTGCCAGGCACAAACCAAAATGGACGTGAAGAGACAAACACAGATGACCCTTACAGGTCCTCTAACAGAGACAGCAAAGGTCTTGGGAAGGTGTAGGGCAGTGCAAAGACCGTTTGGGGCTCTGAGAATTTGCTGAACAGAGAGAACATCTGCCTAGGGTAAAGTCTTTAAAGCCTAGATGTTGTTGCCTGGGCGTGGTGGTGTATGCTTATAATCTGGGAGACTAAGATGGGAAGGGAGTATCCACAAGTTCCATGAATGTACATACATCCTCCAGTGATAGACCTCTCACCATTTCCCTTTACTCATCATCTGAGCCTAGCCATGCATAAAGACTAGCTGGCCACACTATCGCTGCCACCCATTCACATCAGCAGGCACACAAAAGGTTGTTCTCTAGGGTCATGTTAAATCCATACAAGCTCTTTATATTCTCTACCTTGGTCATATATTCAAAATAAATATTGAAAATCTAAGAAAATATTTATTTAAACAGAAAAATATCTAAAGAGTTTTGCTTCTCCTTTCCTATAACTTTAAGAATAACTTATAACCCTTTCACATCATAAACAAAAATAATCAACAATAACAACAAAACTAGCTGCTTCGGCTAAGTGTTGACTGCTGTCATATTCTCTTCCTATCTGTTCATGTGTGAACCTATTTAGCTGCACTGTGAGCTTTTGGATTGTGAGCCTTCATCATCACTGCTCAGGACAGAGCCATGAATGGGACTGCTGGGATCCAAGGGCAGCCAGTAGGATCCCAGCTGTCTTTTCCAACACCTGGGCTTCCAAAGTCTTGTACGAACACTGACTGGAAGGCAAAAGGGGTAACCACATCACTGCCTCTGAGAAACCCAACTGGGAGGGCTGGTCCCAGGGACAGAAATGTACAAGACAGCTGTTCTGGAGATATTCACACCAAGGCTCTCTACAAGAGCAACCATGAAGGGCCAGGGCCAGAGAAGGTGATGTGAAGATGGAAAGAGAGAGTACAGTGATGGGCCTTGAAGATGGCAGAGGAGGCCACAAGCCATCGTAGTCACTAGAAACTGTAATAGGCAAGACAACAGGCTCTCCCCTCAGAACCTAGAAGGAAGCAGCATGGCCGACATCCTGAGCTTAGAGTTAGGGAAAGCTGATTTGGGACCTCTGATCTCCTGGACTAGAGGTGAAAACACCTGTGTTCTTCAAGGTGTTGCAGTGATTGGTCACAACAGCTGGGGGAGACGAACACATGCAGACTTTCTGAAGAGTGAGGGAAGTTGTTCTTGGAAGTCAGGAGGGACAGTGTAGATAGTGGAAAGAGCAAGTTCATAGAGAGCAAACTTGGGCCAAAGCAGAGCACTAAGAACATAGCAGCAGCCCTGCCTGAGCTGGGCTAGACGGGGGTGGAGGGGTGGGGGGGTGGGTACCATGTTAGGAGGCCACAGAGAAGGCTCTGGGCAGGAAGGCACTGGGGATGAGGGCATTCTG